CGCTGGAGGGGTGTGTGTGTGGGTGGGAGGTGGGGGTTTAGGGGTTCTGGGCAGTGAGCATGTGGGGCCCCAAGCCTGATGCCTCAGCTGACCCACTTCCTGCCCGGCCTGGGCTGTGCTGGTGACCACCCGCAGCCAGGAATCCGCACAGCTGGTCCCAGGGCCTGAGCTGACCACTTCCGTCCCCCGCTTCCCCTGCAGCCCAGGCTCTGCTGACTCACACTCAGCTGTCCCCATTCTTCCCTCACTGAGCTCTGATTCTGAGAGGTAGGGGCGCTGGCAGAGGCCCAAACCCCGAAGGCAGGGAAGTCATGGCCGGCTGAGAGCATCACGGAAGAGAGAAAATTATACCCCAGGCTTAACTGCCTGAAAAACGAAAACCTGCTCTTGACAAGGAAAAAAAAAAGAATACTTTTGGGACAGTCCTTTGGAATCAGTCACAATTTCAAACTTTTGGCCACCAAAAAAAAATCCATCAAGAAATTGAAAAGATAAGCCAGGGACAGAGAGGAGATACCTGCGATGCATTTAACTGACCAAGGAATAGCTTCCAGGACATATGAAGTGCCCCCACTCCACCAGACACACTAGACGGAAAGAAAAAACACCACACAGAAAAATGGGCAGATGGCATTGTTTTTGCCATAACAATGACCACGAACTCGGTCTTACATTTCTGGCTTACAACAGCAGAAATTTATTCTCTCACAGTTCTGGTGGCCAGAAGTCCCAAATCAAAGTGTCAGCAGGGCTGGAGGCTGTGAGGGAGAATTGGTCCCAGGCCACTCTCCTGGCTTCTGGTGGCTTCTGGCACTGGTCGGCGTCCCTTGGCTTGTGGCTGCATCACTCCAATCTCTGCTTGCATCTTCATGTGGCCTCTTACAAAGTAATCAGTCATTGGATTTAGGGCCCACCCTACTCCAGTATGACCTCATCTTAATGTAAATAATTACATCTACAAAGACCCTCAAGGTCACAATCTGAGGTTCTGGTGGACATGAATTTGGAGACACACTATTCAGTGCAGTACAGGCATGAAAAGGCAATTCTGGGAAGATGAACCCAGGACAACCAATAAATAGAAGCTAAATCTAGTCACCAGGGAAAAAAATTCACTGAGATCCCATTTCACTATTAGGCAGGGGACAGAGTCACTGGTGATGGGCGTGGGAATTGGCTTGACCACTCAGAAGAACAATTTGGCCATGCTAACACAGCTGAGGACGGCTGGACCCTCCCTCCTGGTCCTAGTGTGAACCCTAGAGAAACCTACATGTGCATGCCTTCCCAGCAGCATGGTTCATAATAAGAAGGAACTGGAAACTTGGGAAATATTTGGGTGTGTTCTTACGATGGAGTACTATACAGCAGTGAAAAAGGATGGGCCAGACTTGCAGGCAAAAATCTCCAATCCAGACCCTTGAGTGAAAATAATTGTAACAGTGTGATACCATTTTTATAAAGTTTTTTTAATTTGCATTTTTGTATTGTGGTAAAATATATATAACATACATAGAATTTGCCATTTTAACCATTTTTAAGTGGACTGTTAGTGACATTAAGTACATCTGAAATGTTGAGCATACATATAGTACAACACCACTATCTACTTCCAAAACTTTCCCATCACCCCCAAACATAAACTCTGTAACTGTTAAGCAATAATTCCTCATTTCTACCCCCTCTTCCTCCGGCCCCTGGTAACCTAAAATTGACTTCCTGTCTCTATGAATTTGCATATTCTAGACATTTCATACCAGTGGAATCATATAATGTTTGTCCTTTTGTGACTGGCTTATTTCACTCAGCATAATGTTTCAAGGTTCATCCACGTTGTAGCATGGATCAGAACATCATTCTATTTTTATGACTGTGTAATAGTCCATTGTGTGGATATACCAAATTTTGTTTATCCATTCAGTTATTGGTGGACATTTGCATTGTTTCCACCTTTTGGCTATTGTGAATAGTGCTGCTGTGTACATTGGTGTACAAGCTCATTTTGAGTCCCTGCTTTCAATTCTTTTGAATATATATCCAGAAATGGAGTTGCTGGATCATATGGTCGTTCTGTGCTTAGCTTTGTGAGGAGCTGCCAAACTGTTTTCCACGGCAGCTGCACCATTTCACATTTCCCCCAGAGGTCCCAGAGGGTTCCAATTTCTCCACACCAACACTTATTTTGCTAATAGCCATGCTAATGGGTATAAAATGGTATCTCGGGACTTCTTTGATGGTGCAGTGGTGAAGAATCCCCCTGCCAATGCAGGGACAGGGGTTCGAGCCCTGGTCCAGGAAGACCCACATGCTGCGGAGCAGCTAAGCACGTGCGCCGCAACTACTGAAGCCCGGGCGCCTAGAGCCCGTGCTCCGCAACGAGGGCCACGGCAATGAGAAGCCTGCGCACCTCTACGAAGAGTAGCCCCCGCTCACCGCAACTAAAGAAACCCCACGTGCAGCAACGAAGACCCAATGCAGCCATAAACAAACAAACAAATAGATAAATAAATTTTAAAAATAAATAAAGTGGTATCTCACCATAGTTTTGATTTGCCGCAACTAGAGAAAGCCCACATGCAACAATGAAGACCCAACGCAGCCAAAAATAAATAAATTAAATTAAATTAAATTAAAAAAGAAATTGGAGTGATGCATCTACCAGCCAAGGAACACCAAGGATTGCCGGCAAACACTTGAGGTTAGAAGAGGCAGGGAAGGATTCTTCCCTATAGATCTCAGAAAGAGCGTGGCTCTATCAATACCTTGATTTCAGACTTGTCTCCTCCAGAGCTGTGAGAAAATAAATTGCTACTGTTTTAAGCCCACCCCCGCCCACGGCAAAAAAAAAAAGAAGAACATGAAAAAGATACGGAGATGTGGAAGGCAAGGCATCCGGGAAGGGGCGCAAGGCTTCCATGCCCTCTTGCAGCACCTGCACGTGTTCACCAGCCCGGAAACTCTCTGAACCCGGTTCTTTTGGGATCTTTATGGAGGCGTCATCACGTAGGCATGATCAATCATTAACTCCATTTTCAGGCCATCCCCCCTCTCTGGAGAATGGTGGGGGAGGGAGTGTGGCTGAAAATTCCAAACTCCTAATCATGGCTTGGCCCTTCTGGTGACCAGCCTCCATCCAGGAGCCATCCACGAGCCCACCCAGTCCTATCATTACAACGAAAGACACTCCTATCACCCAGGAAATTCCAGAGGCTCTAGGAACTCTGTGTCAGGAACTAGGGTCAAAGACCAAATATTAGAACAAAAGATGCTCCGAGTGTTCTTATCACATAGGAAGTTACAAGGTTTTCAGGAGCTCTGTGCCAGGAACCGGGGGCAGAGACCAATATATATATATATTTTTTTTCCTATTATCTCACAGTGTGTAATTTTCTTTTCTTGCAACATGTTTACCTGTCATTATTATCAGAGTAATTCTGGCCTCGTTAGAACTGTCACTTCCCCTTCTATTATTTCGAAGAATTAGATAAGAATTGGTATTATTCCATAAATGATTCAGAATTCACCAGTGAAGCCATCTGGTCTTGGACTTCTCTCTTGGAAGGTTTATTATTATTATTATTATTGGTCACACAGCGTGGCATATGGGATCCTAGCTCCCTGACCAAGGATCAAACTCACGTCCGCTGCATTGGAAGCGCAGAATCTTAACCACTGGACCACCAGGGAAATCCCGAAGTTTTTTGGTTCTTTTTGTTTTTTAATTAATTAATTAATTTTTATTTTTGGCTGAGTTGGGTCTTCATGGCTGCTCACGGGCTTTTCTCTGGTTGCGGCGAGTGGGAGGGCTACTGTTTGCTGCAGCGTGCAGGCTTCTCATGGCGGTGGCTCCTTTTGCTGCAGAGCACGGGCTCTAGGCGCATGGGCTTCAGTAGTTGTGGCACACAGGCTCAGTAGTTGTGGCTTGCGGGCTTTAGAGTGCAGGCTCGGTAGTTGTGGTGCACGGGCTTAGTTGCTCCACGGCCTGTGGGATCTTCCCGGACCAGAGCTCGAACCTGTGTCCACTGCGTTGGCAGGCGGATTCTTAAGCACTGCGCCACCAGGGAAGTCTCTCTATTATTTCTTTATTCTCTATTTAATTTATGTCTGCTCTAATCTTTATGATTTCTTAACTTCTACTACCTTTGATTTTAGTTTACTCCTCTTTTCCTACTCCCTCAAAGTATAAAGTTAGGTTCTTGATAACTTTTAGTATGTTTATAATTGACCAGGACCCTATGGGGCCTTCCTGGGACAGACCCCCCCCACCATGACCCCACCATGTCCTCTGCCTGCCTCTTGTCTGTAGAAGAACATTAGGCTCCTAGGCCTTCTTCAAGTTCCAAAGCATAAATTTAATCAGAGAAGTGAGAAAATGCAGAAAGGAGGGAAAACAGTCAATCAAGACAAAATAATACTAGTTTAGCCATTAAACAAAGTCAAGAACCTTTAGTTCCATCTCAAGGGCTATAGATAATATTCTGAGCCACATCCTTTGGGTTGTTTTTCAGATACTTGAAACCTCCACCAGGCAGAAAAGGGTAACCGTATGCTGCCCACAAGCACATAGACCTCAGGCCAGTTGGAACCAGAAGGTTGATGATGTTGACTCCCGATTACCTCACCACTGGCCAATCAGAAGAATGTCCATGAGCTGATCACACACCCACAACCCCGCTCCCTCACCTTGTCCTTAAAGACCTTTCCCTGAAAGCCACCAGGGAGTTCAGGTGTTTTGAACACTAGCTACCTGGACACTTTGCTTGGTACCTGCAATAAATGCTGCACTTTCCTTCACTACAACCTGGTGTCAATAGATTGGCTTTACTGCACGTGGGCGAGTGGACCCAAGTTTGGTTCGTTAACGTGTTGTATTTTTGTTTTCATTCATCCCCAAGTATTTTCCAATTTCTTTCGTGATTTCTTCTTTGATCCATCGTTTCTTTAAGAGTGTGTTAGCAGTGTGCTCAGCGGTCCCGTGCATCTGTCTCTTGCTTCAACAGTGTTTGGATGGAACAGACCCAGGGACACCCTTTGCTCCAGCCTCTGACCACCCTCCAACATTTTTTCCAGTCACAACCTTCAGAATCAGCCACTCAGTTATTCTCGGTCACCGGGACCAGCCAACACCAGTTTTCGAGATTAACTCCTTATTACCGATCAACCATGAGCTCCCAGATTCATCAGAATTATTCCACTGAGGTGGAGGCCGCCATCAACTGCCTGGTCAACATGCATCTGTGGGTCTCCTACACCTACCTCTCTCTGGGCTTCTAGTTTGATCCCGACGATGTGGCTCTGGAGGACGTGGGCCACTTTTTCCTCGAATTGGCCGAAGAGAAGTGCGAGGGCGCCGAGTGTCTCTTGAAAATGCAAAACCAGCGCGGCGGCCGTGCCCTCTTCCAGGATGTGCAGAAGCCATCTCAGGATGAGTGGGGTAAAACCCAGGACGCTATGGAAGACGTCATTCTCATTGAGAAGAACCTGAACCAGGCCCTTTTGGACCTGCATGCCCTGGGTTCTGCCCATGCAGACCCCCACCTCTGTGACTTCCTGGAGAGCCACTTCCTAGATGAGGGTGTGAAACTCATCAAGAAGATGGGTGCCACCTAACCAACCTCCACAGGCTGGCTCGTCCCCAGGCTGGGCTGGGTGAGTATCTCTAGGAAGTACTCACCCTCGAGCATGACTAGGAGTCTCTGGAGTCCAGCGGCCTCTGAGGAGCCCCTCTGGCATCAGAGCTTCTGCCTGAAGCCCGTCTCTGCAGCCACTAGGCAGCTTTTTAACCACCCTGGAGCTCTCTCCCAAGCCTTGGACCAAATGGAAACAATAAAACTTTCTGCAGCGGAAAAAAAAGAGTGTGTTGTTTAATACCCGCGTATTTGTGAACATAACAGCTTTCCTTCTGTTATTGATTTCTAGCTTTATTCCATTGTAGCTGGAGATGATTTCAGCCTTTTAAAATGTATTGAGAGTACACCTGTAACTTATATAATATTGTACGTCAACTATACTTCAATAAAAAATAAAATTAAATAAATGATGCCAAAAAATGTACTGAGAGTTGCTTTTTTGCCTAATAGCTGATCTATACTGGAGCATGTTCCATGTGCATTTGATAGAGATGTGTATTGTGCTGTTGGAGTGTTCTATAGATGTCTGTTTGGTCTAGTTGGTTTAGAGAGCTGCTCAATCCTCCATATCTTTAATCTTCTGTCTAGATGTTCTATCCATTATTAAAAGTGGGGTATTGAAGTCTCCAACTGTTATTGTAGAACTATTTACTTCTCCCTTCAAGTCTTAGATACAGCTTTGAGTTACTGTTTAGGGTCCTTTCATTTTAACCAGCAGGACTCCCTTTAGCATTTCTTGCATGGCAAGTATAATGGTAACAAACTCCCTCAACTTTTGCTTACCTGAGAATGTCTTGATTTCTCCCTTTTTCTTTCCTTCTTTCTTTTTTTCTTTTTCTTTTTTTTTTTTTTTGGCCATGCAGCACAGCTTGTGGGATCTTAGATCCCCAGCCAGGAACTGAACCCGGGCCCTGGCAGTGAAAGCGCCAAGTCCTAACCACCGGACCACCAGGGAATTCCCTCTCCCTTATTTTTGAAGAACGGTTTTGCTGGATATAGAATTCTTGGTCAACAGTTTCTCTTTCAGCAGTTTAAATATGTCATTTCATTGCCTTCTGGAGTCTAGGGTTTCTGATGAAAAACTGGCTGTTGATCTTATAGAGGATCCCTTGTACTTGATAAATAGCTTTCTCCTAATACTTTCAAGTTTCGCTTTTTCGTCTCTGGCTTTCAACAGTTTGATTACGATGTGTCTCAGTGTGGGTCTGAGTATATTCTACTTGGAGTTCACTGAGCCTCTGAGATGTGTAGATTTGTATCTTTCATCAAATTTGGGAAGTTTTTGGCCATTATTTCTTCAAATATTCTTTCTGCCCTTCCTCTCTCTCTCTCTCCTCCTTCTGGGACTCTCATAATATATATGTTGGTCCTCTTGATGGTGTCCTACAGGTCCTTTAGACTCAGTTCACCTTTCTTCATTCTTATTTCTGCTCTTCAGACTTGATAATTTCAATTGTCCTGTCTTCAGGTTTGCTGATTATTTCTTCTACCTGCTCAAATCTTCTGTCGAACACCTCTGGTGAATTTTTCATTTCAGTTATTGTACTTTTCAGATTCAGAATTTCTGTTTGGTTTCTTTTTATAATTTGTGTCTCTTTATTGATAATCTCATTTTGTTCATAAACCATTTTCCTGATTTCCTTCAGTTCTTTTTTCATGTTTTCCTTTAGCTTTTTTTTTCTTTCTTTTTTCCTTTAGCTTTTGAGCATGTTTAAAATAGTTGTTTTAAAGTTTTTGTTTAGTAGGTCTGATGTCTGGGCTTCCTTAGGGATGATTTCTGTCAATTACTTTTGTTCCTTTGAATGGGCCATTCTTTCATGTTTTTATGTCTTGTGATTTTTTTGTTGAAAAATAGGCATTTGAATATTACAATGTGGCGAACTCTGGAAATCAGGTTCTACGCCTTCCTGAGGGTTTTGCTGTTTTGATTTTGTTTTTGAATTGTTGAAGGCTGTAGTATTCCTTTTGTTTAGGTACTTTTCCAAACTACTTTTGCAAAGACTGTATTCCTTTTCATGTGTGGTCACTGATGTCTCTGTCCATTTAGCTCATGTTCGGCTAATGTCTTGACAGAGATTTCCTTGAATGCCAGGAGCTAAAAATGAAAAACCCAAACAAACAAACAAAATCCACATCTCCCAGTGTTTGTAGATGGGTTCTGGGCTGGAATTCTCCTTTAACTTTTAGCCAGGTTTGTACTGAGACTACAGATCAGCCTGAGGTGAAGCTCAGAGTCTTCTCAGTTCTTTTCTGAGCATAAGTCTTGCCCCTGGGTGTGTACATGGATTTCTAAATTCCCTCCATATACACAGGTGCTTTTGAATGTCCTAATTTCCCAAATAATATCCCCCAGATTTTCCTCTCAGGGTTTAAGTGGTTGATAATATGTTTTGACCGTAACCTTTTGCCCTAAGTGTCTGTATGTGTTTGGTTCAGCTTGCAGTGCTTTTGAGCAACACCCACCACTTTTCCAGCCCGAGCTCCAAGTTAGGCAGTTCAGAGGTGAGCACCCATGTCAGTCCTTCAAGAAGCCCCAGACAGGTTAGAATAGACCTACACAATAATTTGTGAATAAGATCTGCACTGCTCCCACCAGATCCAAGGACCAGGGTCCTGCACTGGGAACATGGGTTATTTCCGCTACAAGACCACAGCTGTGGGACTTCCCTGGTGGCACAGTGGTTAAGATTCTGCCTGCCAATGCAGGGGACATGGGTTCAATCCCTGGTCTGGGAAGATCTCACATGCCACGGAGCAACTAAGTTCAAGCACCATAACTACTTGAGCCTGCGCTCTAGGGCCCATGAGCCACAACTACTGAGACCGCATGCTGCAACTACTGAAGCCCACGCACCTAGAGCCCATGCTCCACAAGAGAAGCCACCACAATGAGAAGCCTGCACACCACTGGGAAGAGTAGCCCCTGCTCACTGCAACTAGAGAAAGCATGCGTGCAGCAATGAAGACCCAATGCAGCCAAAAATAAAAAATAAATAAAAAGTAAAAAAAAAAGACCACAGCCGAGCTGCAGAGTGGGTGGGGCAAGGGCAAGTGGAAATGCCACAAAGTTTTCCTACCATTTTCAAGTTGCCTTTTTCTTGCTTCAACATGCACTTAGTTGTTACAAATTTCTGTTTTCCAGAGTTCTAACAAAGTCAATTCTGCATTTTCAAGTTGCCTTTTTCTTGCTTCAACATGCACTTGGTTGTTACAAATTTCTGTTTTCCAGAGTTCTAACAAAGTCAATTCTGATAGTTTTTGTTTGATAGTCCTGTAGGGGAAGGAGAGGTTGGAGCTGCATACTGCACCATTTTGTTGATAAAATTTTAAATATACTTACTATATATATGTGTGTGTGTGTGTGTGTGTGTATATATATATATATATGGCATGCATGGGGATGATCAAATCAAATCCCAATTTTAGACAAAGGCTTGATGAGTGGTGGGTGGTGGAGGTGTACACGGGCTTCAGCTCTCTTGGGAATGTTGCTTCAGCTCTCTTGGGAATGTTTCTTCAGCAGGGTGCTGGGTACTTGGGTGTTTGTTACTTTATTATTGATACTTTTGTGTATATGCCTGGAATATTTCATAATGAAAAATAAAGCTGACAGGAGAAGGCTTGGTGATTTCTCAACAAGTTAAACATAAAATTAACATATGACCCAGCAATTCCACTCCTTGATATATACCCAAGAGAACTGAAAGCAGGTGTTCAAACAAAAACTTGTACACACATGTTGATACCAGTGTTACCGAACTGGGTCCATTTGCCTGACACACAGCAAGCCAAACACTGAGACTCTGAGGTTTGCAGCAGAGAAAGAATTTATTCATAAGGCAGCCAAGCGAGGAGATGGGAGAACAAGTCTCAGATCTGCCTCCTCGAAGACGAGGGGGTGGGGATATTTATGGGAGAAGCAGGGTGGTCTTGGGCATAGGAAAAGGTGATTGGAGGTAGGGGAAAAGGTGAGGTAATCAGTGTTCTGCACAGGCGTATCTGGGTTACATGTTTCTGCATCTTCAAAAATGGAGGCACTTAACATGATTTGAGGGTGGAGTTTTCTGACGTCAAAAGGCCATTCGGGGCTTGCCTGGTGGCGCAGTGGTTGAGAGTTCGCCTGCCGATGCAGGGGACACGGGTTTGTGCCCTGGTCCAGGAGGATCCCACATGCCGCAGAGCGGCTGGGCCCGTGAGCCATGGCCGCTGAGCCCGCGCGTCCAGAGCCTGTGCTCCGCAACGGGAGAGGCCACGACAGTGAGAAGCCCGCATACCGCAAAAAAAAAAAAAAAAAAAAAAAGGCCATTCATTCAATGCTTGCACGGGCCCAGTTTTGGGGTCAGTGGTCCTCATCAGCCTTAGTTGAACAAGAGCTGACTCCAAGTTCCTGTAAAACAACTGGGCTACGTGACTCTGGGAAGGTATGCAATTAAAGAGAGGAAGAAAAGAATGAAAGAAAAAATAACTAAAGCAAGCTTAATCAGTGAAGACAGTTTACAAGCAGAGGGGTTTCAACAAGCTGTTCCCCTGTCTGTTGCTCTGCAAGACAAACTCAAGAATTCCTGTTAGTCTTCTGCTTCTGTCAACTCTCTGGGGCCAGTTTCCGTGGCTGCCAAGGGCTGGAGGAGGGGCCATGGGGAGGGACTGCTGATGGGGACATGGTTTCCTTTTGGGGTGATGGGAAAGTTCTGGAAATAGATAATGGTGATGGTTACACCACGCTGAGAATGTGCTAAATGCCACTAAGTTGCACATGTTTAAATGGTTAAAATGATACATTTCATGTAATATGTATTTTACCACAATTAAAAAATTTATTTAAAAACAAGGTCCTATTGCATAGCATAGGGGAACTACGTTCAGTATCCTGTAGTAAACCGTAATGGAAAATAATTTTTTAATTGTTTTAATAATAAAATAAACTAAAAGTGACTTTGCTCAAGTAACCCCGGCCATCAGTTGGGCACCTTTGGGGGTGCATTCACATGCTCACAGATTTTTTTTTAAACTTACCTTGACTGTGAAGAGCTGCAAAAAAACCTCTCCAGGTGAGGAAAACTACCTTTGACAAGGAAAAGATTCTAGGATGTGAAGTGCTTGCTTGCCCGGGCCACAGAGCCAAGGAGAAGCCAAACTCGGATTTGAACCAGTCTTGTCTGCTGTGAATGGCCTCATGGGCCTGCGTCAGCTTTCAAGTTCCTTTGCCAGCCTGGTGCCTGGAGTTGCCTGTCTGACCTCAGGGTCTTTGAACATGCTGTGTTCCCCTGCCAGAATCACCCTTTCCTCTACTCCTCCCATGCCTAGAGACTTTTCTTTTGCTACTTGAAAAGAGGTCTGGCACATAATAGATGTTAAAGAAATATCTGTGGAGCGAATGGATGAAGGAGTGAATGGATAAATGAATAGATGAGTTCCTTTAAAGCATTTCTCATGTGAGCACAAGGAGAAAGACCTGTGGATCCTCACAGCTGTGGCCTGTCCAGGACTCAGGACATTGAAGGAAGAGTGGCACAGAGAGGCCAAGCCACCTGCCCAAGGTCACACAGCCAGGAACTGGCATGATCAGGATTCGAACCTGGATCTCCCTTCCCTGAGCCTGGGTTCTTCCCACAATGCCCAGGTATTGCAAGCCCGTCATATGCCCAACATTGCAATTTCATCAGTCCCATCTGAAGGGTAGCAGAAGGTGCCACTCCAGAGCCTGCCTCTTTGGCATAAAGGTTCTTTTGAGAAACTGCAGGTACAGGAGAAACTCTGAAAACAGAGTAGAAGTTATGCTTTTGTAAGGGGCATTTACATTTATAAAAGAAGTCTCCATTTGTTAAGTGTGTCTCCCTCTCTGTACGAGGAGGAAGAGCCTGGCTCTAAATCCCTGGAGAATCTTATCAGTGGAGAGAGCACAAATTAAAACCTGCAGAATGAATCTTACCCTTGTTTACTGTGCTTTTCCTGGTCACCTCCTAGAATTGGCCTCAACTCCCACCCCAGGCCCAGCACCTTTCTTTTGTCTTTAGCGGAAGATGGTATTTAAGGGAGTGGCTGGGGCCCCCTTGGGGAGTTTTACTCAGTTTCCCTCTGTATCTCCCATATATACACGAGATATACATGTTAAATTTCTGTGTGTTTTTCTCTTGCTAGTCTGTCTTTTATTCCAGGGGGTCTCAGCCAAGAACTCAGAAGGGTAGAGGGAGAATTCGTCTTCCTCCTCCCTGCCCCACATCTCATGCTGGCCCCTGAGGGTGGCCAGATCCCCTCTTTTTAGAGGCTCTGGGGGAGACGGAGCAGGCTAGGGGGCTGGCTGCCTGGGCTTCAAGCCCAGCTTCACTGGTTTCTGGCCTTGGCACAATGCCTCTCCAGCCTCAGGTTGTCACCTGTGAAGTGAAGTTCATCATCCACCCCCAGCAGGTCTTATAAGGATTATGTCTTATGTGCCAGACACATAGTAGTGAAACTGAGCCCCCCTAAAACCGAGTTCCCTTACCAAGTTTAGGGTTAATCCCTCGATCCCAAACTTCATTCCCTTTCTTGTCCCGTCTGACCTCAGTCCTGTGCTAACTGAACACTAATCAACCAGAGTCAGATGGTTAAAATTGCTGATGTTGATAACATCGTTAATGTACCAAAATGGTTATTGTAGATAACATCGCTAGCATACAAACTCAGCTTGTTTCTCCAGGGCGAGATGGGCTCACAGACCCCAGGGCCATGGACCACCTGGCCAGAGAATCGTAAACCAGACATATCCTGATGCCTGAAACTACGATTAAGAAATGTCACAGGGCTTCCCTGGTGGCGCAGTGGTTGGGAGTCCGCCTGCCGATGCAGGGGACGCAGGTTCGTGCCCCGGTCCGGGAGGATCCCGCATGCCACAGAGCGTTTGGACCTGTGAGCCATGGCCGCCGGGCCTGCGCGTCCGGAGCCTGTGCTCCGCGACGGGAGAGGCCACAACAGTGAGAGGCCCGCGCACCGCAAAAAAAAAAAAAAAAAACAGAAATGTCACAGCAGGGGCTTCCCTGGTGTCACAGTAGTTAAGACTCTTTGTACTCCAGGACTTCCCTGGTGGTGCAGTGGTTAAGAATCTGCCTGCTAATGCAGGGGACATGGGTTCAATCCATGGTTAGGGAACTAGATCCCACATGCATGCTGCAACTAAGAGTTCACATGCCACAACTAAGGAGCCCAAGCACTGCAACTAACACCCAGTGCAACCAAATAAATAAATATTTTAAAAAAGAAGAAGAAAAGAATGGGTACAATTCTGATTTAAAAAAAAAACAGAGGGGCTTCCCTGGTGGCGCAGTGGTTGAGAGTCTGCCTGCCGATGCAGGGGACACGGGTTCGTGCCCCGGTCCGGGAAGATCCCACATGCCACAGAGCGGCTGGGCCCGTGAGCCATGGCCGCTGAGCCTGTGCGTCCGGAGCCTGTGCTCCGCAACGGGAGAGGCCACAACAGTGAGAGGCCCACGTGCCGCAAAAAAAAATCAAAAAACAGAAATGTCACAAGATGATTAATTTCAGCCTTTTTGTTCTTCCCCTTTTAAAAAAACTCCTAACTCAGGGGCCAAGGTGGAGTGGATTGGAGGCTGGTCTCCCGCTCCCTTGCTTGGTGCCCTGCAATAAACGTTGTGCTTTCCTTCAACACAACCTGGTGTCAGTAGATTGGCTTTGTTGCGTGTAGGGTGAGCTGACCCGAGATCAGTTTGGTAACAGTAGGTGCTCAAAATTTTTCCCCTGGTATTTATTCTTTGCTCCACACTTTGCTGCAGGTGTAGGTGTCTCTCCACACCATCGCCATCACTCACTTCTGTGATGTTTCTCAGGGAATTTCATGGCCCTTCTCTGGACCACACCTCCCTTGATGAGCTGATACAGATCCCTCAGTCCCTGTGAATGTGACCTCATTTGGACAAAGGGTCTTTGCAGAAGTAATTAAGTTAAAGATCTTGAAATGAGACTGTTCTGGATTTACACTGGGCCCTAAATACAGTAAGTCCCCTACATATGAACCTTCAAGTTGCGAACTTTCGAAGATGCGAACATACATTCCATCAACGTGGGGCGTGAGTGAAACTGCAGCTTGCCCTCCGTCTCCTATTGCTGAGGATCCTTCGGCTCTACCATCTCCCACCTCCTCTCCCTTCACCAGTCAGTCACTCTTCTTGCCTGTTCACTCGATGCCAGCCCCTGGATGCCAGCGCCTGGATGCCAGCTGTTGTGCTGGACTGCTGTACTTTTCAAGGGACTGTACTGTAAGATTTTAAATGTTTTCTTTATTTTTTTTGTGTTTGTTTGTTTTGTATGTATTATTTGTGTGAAAAGTATTATAAACCTATTACAGTACAGTACTATATAGCCGATTGTGTTAGTTGGGTACGTTGGCTAACTTTGTTGGACTTACAAATTGGACTTATGAACGCGCTCTCAGAATGGAACTCGTTTGCACGTAGGAGACTTACTGCATACTGACAGGTGTCCTTAGAGAAGAGGAGGGATAGACAGAGGAGAGGAGAAGGCCATGGGAAATCAGAGGCAGAGATTGAAGTGATGCAGCCACAAGCCAAGGAACACCTGGGGCCACCAGAAGCTGGAAGAGGCAAGGAAGCCTCCTCCCCTAGAGCCTTTGGAGGGAGCAAGGCCCTGCCAACCTATGATTTCAAAGTTCTGGCTTCCAGAACTAGGATAGAATAAATTTCTGTTGTTTTAAACTACCCAGTTTGTGGCAATTTACTATGGCAGCCACAGGAAACTAACATAATGATACTGGGACTTGGTCCCAGAAAGCTCTGGTCTGACAGGGCACAGAGCCAGACTCAGACCCTCCAGCCTTGTGTGGTCAGGATGAGGCCAGAGGGAGGCCCCTCAGCCTGAGGGAACGCAGGCAGAGAACAAGGAAGTCTTATTGGAAGATGGGGCATCAAACTGGGGTTTAAGAGGTAAATAGGAGTTTGGCAGTGGGGGCCATTCTTTCTAAGTAAGCTTGCCCAGACCTATCTGAGCTCAACTCCAGCTGAAGCTGAGACATTATTGGCCAATTCCCCATAATACCAATAGTTATTAGTTCTTGGGAGTGTAGCTCCAATCCAACTTCATCTACTCAGTGCTGCCCTATAAGAGGGTAATACTGAGAAACAGGCTGCACTGAGAAACAGGTTTGGAGAGATTAGTAATGCTTCCCAAATCTGCTTGGCATCTCAAGGACTAAGCCATGATTTGAACCCAGGCTGCCTGTGGACCCCCATCGATGACACAGGCAATATGTTGGCCTGGAGGGACGTTCACAGCTACAGGACAGCAGTTCTCCTTGTCCGTTGAACTCAAGAGATTTTTTAATAACCTGCTTTTTCACCTCTTCTGGATCTCGTGTCATGACTGTGTTTGCCTCACATAATGAGAAACCAACAACTGGGTTTGGGTTGTTTCTTGTGTGTCGCGTGTGTCTGATGAGGGTGCCTACGGCCAACAGAAGGAAGTGAGGAAAAATTCTAGGAGGTTGGGAGCTAAGCCAAGTGGAGGGAACAGCCTGACCCCTGGCCTCTGTGCTCTGTTTACCTCTGCCGTGGCGTGGCCTCTGGGACTTGTGGAAGTTGCCAGTGAGGAATGCAGGGTCCCGGCCGACTGAGCTCATCGCTGGTTGACTGCCTGCGGCCTGCCCCACTGTTCCTCCCAGCTTGGCCATGGGACTGGCCATGAGGTCATCGGCTAACAATGCTGTGAAGGGGAGCCAGATCGGCCTGGCTGCCAGCATTCCAGAATTTGGTGAAGTGGAAACCACCATGGAGCTAATGTCATCCTTTCCTGTCCCTAGGGACCACCCACGGGCTGTGTCCCCTTGTGAAGTTCCAGGAATAAAGGGAACTAATTACTGGTCCTGCTCGTAAAGTGACAGACACCCACTCATGAGTCAGCAGCTCCACTCCTGGACATGCACAGTGGAATACTATACAGCAAGGAAAAAGAACAAGGCACACAACAGGGGAAGAACACAGCCATTCACAGCCATGGTGTTGAGTGAAAGTCACCAGACAGAAAAGAGGATGTACTGGCTGGTTCTGTTTACATCAAGTTAGGAAACGGGCAAATTCATCCATGGTAACAGAGGTGGACACAGCTGTTATCTGAAGGTAGGGAGAGTGATGGAGCTGGGAATGTTCTGGAACCTCATTTCGGGAGGTGGTTATGTGAAATGTCATCGAACTCAACACCTAAGATTAGGCCTTTTTGCTTTCTGTAAGTCATATCTTGATAAAAATTTAAAAATAAAAAGGCAGGGCTTCCCTGGTGGCGCAGTGGTTGAGAGTCCGCCTGCCGATGCAGGGGACACGGGTTTGTGCCCCGGTCCGGGAAGATCCCACATGCCGTGGAGCAGCTGGGCCCGTGAGCCATGGCCGCTGGGCCTGCGCATCCAGAGCCTGTGCTCCGCAACGGGAGGGGCCGCAGCAGTGAGAGGCCCACGTACCGCAAAATAAAATAAAAATAAAATAAAATAAAATAATACATAAAAAGGCAGAGGGCTGTAGAAAACATTTTTGTGATGCCTCAAAAAGTTACACATAGAATGATCACATGATCCAGCAATTCCCTTTCTGGGTACAACCTCACAAGAATTGAAAACAGGTCCTCAAATCTTCATGTATGTGTTCGAGAAAACACTACTCACAATAGTTGAAAAGGTAGAAACAACCCAATGACCATCAACGGATGAATGGATGAATGAAGTGTGGTGTCTTCATATGCTGGAATACTATTCAGTCATAAAAAAGAGAAAAGCACTGATACACACTCCAACATAGATGAGCCCTGAAAACATGCTGAGTGAAAGAAGCCAGATCTAAAAGGCCACATGCTGCACGATTCCGTTTATATATGTGATATTGGGACTTATAATAAGAAATATACATGTGGTCTTCCACCCCATTTCTGGCATAGAGCTCCTAAAACCCTTGGGATTTCCTGTGAAGAGAGAGATAAAGGTGTCTTTCGTTATGTTATAGAGGTGACTTTTGAAAAACAACTCAAGGATAGAGGCTGGTTGCTAGGAGCACAAACCATGCAATTAGAGGGTTGGAACATTCAGCCCCAACCTCCCCATACCCCCCAATTCCGGGGATGGAAGAGGGGTTGGAGCTAGAGTTCAATCACCAATGGCCAATGACTTAATCAACTGTGCCTATGTAATGAAGCTTCCATAAAACCCCAAAGGATGGGCTTTGGAGAGCTTCTGGGTTGATGAACATGCAGAGGTGCTGGGAGGGTGGTGCGCTGGAAGAGGACATGGAAAATCCATGCCCTTTTCACATACCTTGCCCTATGCATCTCTTCCATCTGGCTGTTGATCCGTTTCCTTTATTTTTTTTAAGTATAAATTTATTTATTTATTTATTTTTGGTTGCGTTGGGTCTTCGTTGCTGCACACGGGCTTTCTCTAGTTGCGGCGAGCGGGGGCTGCTCTTTGTTGCGGTTCACGGACTTTGCATTGCGGTGGCTTCTCTTGTTGCGGAGCATGGACTCTAGGTGCGTGGGCTTCAGTAGTTGTGGCACGCGGGCTCAGCAGTTGTGGCTCGCGGGCTCTAGAGTGCAGGCTCAGTAGTTGCGGCGCAGGGCTTAGTTGCTCCACGGCATGTGGGATCCTCCCGGACCAGGGGTCGAACCGTGTCCCCTGCCTTGGCCGGCGGATTCTCAACCGCTGCGCCACCAGGGAAGTCCCTCCCTTTCCTTTAATATCCTTTGTAATAAACCTGTAATCTAGTGAGTGAATGGATTTCCTGAGTTCTCTCACTGGCTCTAGCAAATTAATCAAACCCAAGGAAGGGATTATGGAAACCTCTGATTTATAGCCATTGGTCAAAAGTACAGGTGACCACCTGGACTTGTGACTGGCATCTGAAGAGGGGTGGTGGAGGGCAGTCTTGTGGTACTGAGCCCTTAAGCCGTGGGGTCTGATGCTATCTCTGGGTAGACAGTGCCATAACTGAGTTGAATTATAGGACACCCAGCTGGTGTCAGAGAATTGTTCATGTGGGGAAAGAATGTTTAATATGAAATGTCCAGAACAGGCAAATCCATAGAGATAGAAGGCAGATTAGTGGCTGCCAGGGGCTGGGGGAGGGGGGATGGGGAGTGACTGCTAATGGGGATGGGGTCTCCTTTTGGGGTGATGAAAATATTCTGGAACTAGACACAGGTGGTGGTTTCACAACACTGAATGCACTAAATGCCACTCAATTGCTCACTTTATTTATTTATTTTTAAAATTTATTTATTTTGGCTGCATTGGGTCTTCGTTGCTGCGCGCGGGCTTTCTGTAGTTGCGGCGAGCGGGGGCTACTCTTCGTTGCGGTGCGCGGGCTTCTCATTGCGGTGGCTTCTCTTGTTGCGGAGCATGGGCTCTAGGCGCGCGGGCTTCAGTAGTTGTGGCGCATGGGCTTAGTTGTTCCGCGGCATGTGGGATCTTCCTGGACCAGGGCTCGAACCCATGTTCCCTGCATTGGCAGGTGGATTCTTAACCACTGCACCACCAGGGAAGTCCTGTTCACTTTAAAAGTTGAATTTTCTGTTAATTTCCTGGGGAGGCTCATACCTGGGAGGCATGAGAAGCTGTCCCATGACAGCTTTCCAAGAGAGGTAAGGAGGTGAGTGGTGATGGCTTCTGAGAAACTCCCCCCAGGCCTCCAAACTCTGGGTTCCCAGGGCACCCAGGCATTCTGACAAGACTCAGATGAGGTCTGCGTGGCCTGTGTGGACACGTGCAAGATCCTATGGTGAGATCGTCCCCTACAACTCTACCCACCTTACTTGCCCCTCAAAGTCTTTGTTTCCTTATCCCTAGAAAGGAAATGAGTCCCATGGAAAGAAGAGGACTGGTCCAGCCTCCCAACCAGCTGCAGTCAGTTGGACATGATGGTGACGTGAGCAGAGAGACGTCTCTACTAAGCACCTGCTGAATGCCCGGGGCATCACATCGAGAGCCTCAGCCCTCCACCCCCATAGCTGGGCGATAATCCCACTGACAGAAGCTGAGGCTGAGACCCAGTGGAGCCAGAGGCTTGGTGGGACTCACACAGCTGGAGGTGGGGAGGGCCTGGACTCCATTTCTCCAGTAGGAGCCTTGCTGTGTGACACCCCTCCTTGTATCTGTTGCCTGCACACACCCCGTCACACTTTACACACCCCCACGATCTGCTTTGCACAGTGGCCCATCCTGAGGCCAGGAAGCTGGGAGTAGGCACAGGGATGGATGCCTGGGGCCAGGAGTCCTGAGCAGTAGAGCAAGGGCTGGGTACCCCAGGAGAAAGGATGTTCCTGGGGCACCCTCTACCCCTCTATCCTCTGGTGGCTGGACTTGATACCAGCCTTCACTGCCCCAGGCCCCAGCACCCCAATTCTCTGCCACCTCTTCTTCAGGCCCAGCCAAAGGATGGGGGCCCAGAGTAGCTTCATCCCTGCCCAAGCCTTCAAGAAGCCCCCAGTCTGGGGCAGACAGAGACAAGCAAGCACACACACTCCCAGCGCTGTGGGGTCAGGGCTGGGCTGGAGGAAGGCATGGGGTTGGAAGCACCCTGCTGAGCCTGGAAAGGAAATGTCAGAGAAGGCTTCCTGGAGGAGGGGCTTTCTGAGTAGGGTTTTGAGGAATGGATAGGAGTTCCCCAGCTGAAGATGAGTAACTGCAAAAACACCCAGTTTATCAAGCACCTGATATGTGCCTGGTCCTGTCCTTTACACCTCATTTGACCTCCTCTCCAGTGAAAGTCTCAATCCTTCCTTATTTTCCAGATGAAAAAATAGAGGTATGATGGAGAGGAATGGTTTGCCCCAGGTTGCACTTTCTGGCCGTTTTTTTCCTCTGCTTCCTTTGTTTTTCACTATCTTCAGCCTTTGACCCTAAGCAAAGAGGGGAGAGCAGGAATCTCATCAGGGAAGAAAGCCACCTCACCCCTTAAGCTCCTGTTGTGGAGTTTAGCACATAGTAATAAATCTTTTTTGAGAAAATTATTCTTCCCTTTCAGTCCACCAGGCTGGGATGATGTCCCCATTTCACAGAAGAGGATACTGAGGCTCAGAGAGGCTCCTGAGGGGGATTTCCCAGTATACCTAGGAGCTCCTACCCATCAGAGAGCACTGCCCTCTGAAAAGCAGCCGAAGACCCCGCCCAGTTGTGGTCCCTGGAGTGTTTACTCTGCACCCACGGTGGGCGGGACCAGGCAGGCGGGGGCGGACAAAGTCCGGGGACTATAAAGGCTAGTCCAGCAGCGTCCGGTCAGTCCCAGCTTAGAGCTTAACTAACACAGCCATGCCAGGGCAGAGACCGACATCACCACACTGCTCTCCGATGCTGCTGATGCTGTTCGTGTTCTCCTGGCTGCCGTCGCGAGGCGCCCTATCTCTGGCCCAGGAGCACCTCCCCACTTTCCCGGGACCCTCAAACGTGCACTCCAGTCCTGATGTCTCCAGATTCCGGGAGTTGCGGAAACGCTACGAAGATTTGCTGACCCGGCTTCGAGCGAACCAGACCCGCAAAGACTCGAACCCGGACCTCATTCCCCTTCCTCAAGTCCTGGTAGTCACTCCAAAGCGTGAGTAAAATCTCGGAGACCCCACCCTGGGCAGCTCCCATCATTTAACCAGTGGTTCTTAGACATAGAGGCCTAGACCTGCCGCCGAGCCTCAGTTTTCCCATCCGTGAACCCGGCAAGAAAGTCACCCCTCGAGGCTGATGGGGGAACTAAAGGCTGGGTTTGCATCAGGACCAGGCGAGGCTTAGCCAACCTGAGATGTTACAACACCTCCCCGGGTGGCAGATGGGGAAACTAAGGCCAGAGAATCCAGAGACTCTGCTGAAGACTCAAAGAGTCCGGAGAACCCAGAGACAAGGTTGGGCGAGGGGACGTGGTCCCTGCTCTTGGATGTGAGGAAAGGGTTGGAGGGGGATTTCCAGTGGGAAGGATCCAGGGGTCCGGCGGAAGGGCGGGACGGGGGAAGGGACAGAGTGGTGCACAGAGATGCGCAGAACCTGCTTGGGCTGGTTCCGAATCTGATGCAATCGCGCGCCAAGGCACTGCTAAAGTTGCACGTGACTGGTACCTTAGGGAGGGAATGGAGTATTTTCACGCCCTCCACCGAGCCTCCAGCGGATGGAGGGGGTGCAAGGAGATGTGGGCTGCGCTAGGAACTGGGAGTTGAGGGGAGGATGTCAGGCCAGAAGGAAGAGCTCTTATCCTGCCCTAATCCCACTTGTGCTGTGGGACTCCAGGAAAACTTCCCTCTCTCTGAGCCTAGTGACTGGGTTGCGAGCCCTCAAACCTCAGTCTCCCCAGTATCCCCAACATCTGTACCAGCCTGGAGGTCTGAGAATCCTGGGGAGCCAGACACCCTTCATTTCTCAGATATGGAGGAAACCAGAGAGTTGAAAACACAGTAGCTCGTTAACTAAGCACCTACTGTGTCAGGCACAGTGGTGACCAAGCAGACAGAAATCCCCGCTGAGATTCTGGTGGGGGAGGAAAATAATAGACAACCAAATAAAATAAGTCGGTGCCAATCTTAGGCAGGCTGGAGTGGTATGTAACCAGCCATGCTGAGATTCAGGGGAGGAGTGTGGCCGGTAGAGGAAGTCTTGTGCAAAGGCCCTGAGGTAAGATCTAGCTTGGGGTGTTGGAGGAAATGGGCACACACACACCACCACCACCCCGCGCCCGGCACACAGTAGGCCTGTGAATGACTGGTTTCCCTCTCTCCCATAGTGCGACTTGGACCAGGCGGCCACCTGCACCTGCGCATCCCCCGGGTCGACTTAACTGAGGGGCTCCCTGCAGCCTCCAGCCTGCATAGGGCCCTTCTCCGGCTGTCCCCGAAGGCGCGGAGCTCGTGGGACGTGACGCGGCCACTACAGCGTCAGCTCAGCCTTGGAAGCTCCCGGGCTCCCGCAATACGCCTGCGACCGTTGCGGCGACCGGACCAGTTGCTGGAGGCATCGTCTTCTGCACAGCCCCAGCTTGAGCTGCACTGGCGGACAAGCGCCACCAGGGGGCGACGCCACGCGCATGCTCGCACCCGGGACGGTTGCCCGCTAGGGGAGGGGCGCTGCTGTCGCCTGCAGAGCCTGCGCGCGTCGCTCGAGGACCTGGGCTGGGCTGACTGGGTGTTGGCGCCGCGCGAACTGGACGTGCGCATGTGCACCGGCGCGTGCCCGAGCCACTTCCGATCGGCTAACACGCACGCGCAGATGCAAGCGCGCCTGCATGGCCTGAACCCTGATGCTGCGCCTGCCCCATGCTGCGTGCCAGCCAGCTACGATCCGGTGGTGCTCATGCACCAAGACAGCGACGGCCGCGTGTCACTCACGCCCTTCGACGACCTCGTGGCCAAGGACTGCCACTGCGTGTGAGCAGCCCTGGTCCTTCACTTATGGCACAAATGCAATGGAAATGACTTCAGTTGTCCTTGTCTGTCTAATGGGCTCGTGGAACCTGAAATACCCGATTCCTAACCATTGCTGTCTGCTCCCTCCTGGCCCAAACCTATGTATTTATGTTTGTATTTATTATTAATTTATTGGGGTGATCTGCCTGGGGACTGGGGAGGCGTGGTCTGACAGTGTGTGCGTTTATGGAAAACTCTGGTAATAAAAATGAAGCTGTCTGACCTGACCCCTGTGGTGTCCAGGATGGAGCTGGTGGCCTTGGGAAGAGCCCACCCCCGCTGGCCTCAGTTCCCTCAGGGGAGCTGGTATGAGATGATTGGAACAGTCCGGGGAATGGGTGGCAGGACGTTCTTGGGGACGCCAAGAGATTGGACGGTGGTCACGATGCCAATGGTCCTCAAGCGCAGCCGGGGACATCCCTCTCTCCGTTTCTGTGCTTCTCTACCTCCCTATTCCTCTGCTTTTGTTTCTGAGACCCTTTTGGGTCTCAGCCTCCCTCCATCTCTTCTGATCTCTCAGTACTCCTGTTTCCGTAATTATCTGGCCCTGTCTCTATCACCATCCTGCTCTCTCTCCCTCCATGGGGGTCACCTTTCCAAACACAGGCAGCCCAGAGTCACGTGCATTGTGTGTGAATCTGCCCCAGACCTGGAAGAGTCCCATTACCTCTCCTGTTTGTGGCACCTCCCTTCATGTTAATCATGCCTTTATCCTTTCATATAAAAAGAGCTGGGAGAGGGACTTCCCTGGTGGCACAGTGGTTAAGAATCCACCTGCTAAAGCAGGGGACATGGGTTCGAGCCCTGGTCCGGGAAGATCCCACGTGCCATGGAGCAACTAAGCACGTGTGCCACAACTACTGAAGCCCACAGGCCTAGAGCCCACGCTCTGCAACAAAGGAATCCACTGCAATGAGAAGCCTGAGCACCGCAATGAAGAGTAGCCCCCGCTCGCCACAACTAGAGAAAAGCCCGTGCACAGCAACGAAGACCCAATGCAGCCAAAAATAAATTAATTAACTAACTAACTAAAAAAAAAAAAGAGCAGGGAGAAGTAAGTTGTGAAGAACGTTTTCATGCACACCACATCTCCCAGGTTATATCTTTTCCTGCTTAGGATCTTAGAATTGCTGAGATGTACCAAGCCCAGCCCCTTCCCCACACCCACTTGCCTGTTCACCCTGAGGAACTGTCATGGGCGTCTGGAGGACAGAGCACCCAGCTTCAGCAGTGAGTGAGATGTGTCCCCTGTGAACCCCACCATCCAGAGGCAGATCTGAATGACTGCAGTGCCCCTGAATGTATTCAGTGAGTACCCACTTTGTGCCAGGCCATGGCTGGGCACTGAGGACACGAAGGAACAACGTAGGCAAAATTTTACCACTCCATTCAAGCTCAGCTGAGTGCAGGGACAAATGAGTACAAAATAAATCATAAGTGGCTGATTGTAGTAAGAATCGTGCAAAGAGGTCAGCCCAGGCAATGCATTAGTGAGCAGAGGAAGACAGATTTTTGGCAGCAGGAGTGGGGGCTGGAGTAGTGTCTAGGGCAGGGATGCAGGGGTGCAAGGAAGCTGAAGACCCTCATAGGTTGCCTCTCCCACCCTGGGTCACTCCCAGGTGTTGGGGAAGCCAAGGGAACCTCAAAATTAAACTCAATGTCAGGATCACCCAAAGGTAGCAGCTGCCATACTGAGTCTCTCCCCAAACATCAAATGTTGCCTTTGCCGGACACTGCTGCCCGTGTGCCTTTTCACACCTCCAGGCTGGTCCCCCTGCCCAGTGTGCCTTGTCCTTTCTACTTCTCGAACACCTATGCATCCTTCAAAACACACTTCAGATTCCCCTCTTACGTACAGCCCTTTTTAAACTCCTTCATTCATCTCCCTCTGGGGACCGTCATTCCATCTCTCCTTCTGGCCCAGGCTTGACCTCCCAGGACTGGGGGTGTCTGTGTCCAGCTCTGTCTCCCCTAGTTTGGGGGCTTGGCAGGAGTCGGGCTGGGAGCAGCTGACAGGAAACCCAGCTGAGGCATGAGCTTGAACAAACTCTTGAAATACACTGAGCTCTGGGAGTGATGAACTCTGCCTGAGGAGGAACCAGGGAAGGGTTCTCAGAGTGGCCTTGGCATTGCACCTGGGCCTTGAAGGATGAGTTAAGGTATCTCAGCATATTAGAGCTAAAACAGCCTTAGAGGCCAATTTTAATCACCTTGTTTTACAGAAGGGGGTACTGAAGCCCAGAGGGTTAATGGCAGAGTCAGGAAGTGGACCCATGCCTCCTGATGCCCAGACCAGAGTTCTGCATCTGTATTTAGATGCTTAAGAGTGAGAAAACGTGGAAGGGGATGGCAATCTGGGCAAAAGGAAAGGCATGGGTAAATGACATGAGAAAATGAAAGCTTCAGGAGGGAGGTGAGCTTGAGGGAGAGGAGGCCCAGACCAGAAGGGCAGAGGAATGGGAGAGGGCAGTGGGTTGGGCAGGGCTGGGTCACGCAGGTCTCAACCACCAGGCTGAGAATCTGGGGGCAGTGGGGAGCCATAGAGTGTGCGTAAGCAGGGGAGGGGCACAGTCCCATTCATGAGTTATAAGGATCCCTTTGAGGCTAGTGTGGGCTGCCCTGGGGGGCCAAGTCTGGATACCAGGCACCTGAGAAGGGGGCCTGAGAGTGACAGAGGGGAGAGACTGGGGGTTGGGAGCAATTTGGGAGTCCCAGAGCTCTCGTCTTGGAAGCCCAGCAGCCTCATCTGTCCCGCAGAATTTATTGGGCAATACTTGCACACCAACGGGAGGGTGACGACAGAGTTCACACGTTGACCCTCCCATCCCTGTGTTGGGGTCTCTCCTTCTCCACTTCTAGCAGCCGAGTGGCCTGAGGAGCAGAGTGGTCTAGGGAGGGGGCTGCAGAGCCTCCCTGGGGCCTCAAGGATGATCCTTCCCTGGCCCCATTCCTCAGATGGGAAGACTGAGGCCAGGGAAGATCCAGGGTGCCCCAAGTCACCTGGAAGGGGGTAGGCTGGAGTTTGAGATGTTGAAGGCTCAGTGCCCAGTGATCACATACTCTTCTTCATCCGATGGGGCCTGGCCCAGCGACTGCAAGTTGCAGTAGACAGGCTGGGAATCATGGTGGCGGCTCTCATAGTTCATGTAGAAGTCGTTGTCCTCTGAAGGGTGAGGCCTGTGGGGACAGACAGATGGGAGGGCAGGTAGGATTCAGGGAGCAGGCACATCAGCTTTGAGAGGCAAAGTAGTTCAGGGCAATTGAGTCCACTCCTAATATTTACATATGAGAAAAGTGAGTCATGGGGCAGTGTTCTCCCAGCCTGGCCCAACTTTCTGTGAGGAAAGCAAGTAAGGGGCACTGATTCAGGGAAGATTCTGTGGATTCAGCATTGTAACGCTGTGGTCCAAGGACCCTGAGTCATAGTAGGGTTTTTTTTCTTCCTTAAGGTTGAAATTGTTGCCCATTTTTTACATTAAATTCTAGATTTTGTTTTCCTCTTGAAAAACTGGAAGCTCTAGTCACACCAGCCACATGAACACAAGTAGCTGGAGCTGAACCAGTGCCCCTTCAAATGGGAAATGTTTTCACCAGGTCCCCAGAAGCAGCTGAATTTGTGGTCTTGATACAAAAATAAATCTCTGAGCCTCAGTTTCCCCATCCACAAAATGGATCAGGGAGGAGGTAGCTTCTTAGGAATGTCTTGCTATGGTGGGCAAGACACCCAGAGAAGAACTTTCCTGCCTCCAGAACATCCTAACACCCCCACCCCCGATCCTCTTGTAAAAAAGGCCACTTTGGGTAAATGGTGTCTATCAGTCATCTGTACTTTAGTATAATTTACTCCAAATACATAAATGGTTGTATGGGGATGGAACTCAGGGTTTGTTTCTTGCTTCTGCTTCTGACCTTGGGCATGTCATTCCCCTGCCTTCCAGAACCTCCATTTCTTTCTTTCTTTCTTTCTTTTTCTTTTTTCAGCCACACCGCACGACTCGTAGGACCTTAGTTCCCCGACCAGGGATTGAACCCGCACCCTCACCAGTGAAAGCACAGCATCCTAACCACTGGACCACCAGGAATTTCCAGAACCTCCATCTCTGCAACTTTAAAATGTAGGTTGGGATTGACACATCCAATTCTTAACAGTGTTTTTAGAGGAGACTGGTCCTGAGGTCTTGGTGACAGCGAGGCAGAGGCAAGCATCAGAACACAAGCTGCCTTAGGGAGTGTGGTGCTTTCAACTCCTTACCTCAGCCCACTTCTGCATTGAGCCATATTTGCATCTGCTTTGCATATTCTCTTATTTCTAACCAATAGTCTCTCACAGGCCTCCCCACCTTTTGGATTCTGCTGCTGCAAAACCCAGCCATGACCCTCTTCCCTTCCTGCTTGGATCCTCCCAGCCCCCTCCAACTTCAGCCCTGATGTCTTGCCTTCTCAAAACACATCCACAGCAGATTCTCTGTTCTCTCCCACTGCCAGGCTTTTGCCCTTCCTTGTGCCTGCCCCCCTGAAATCCCCTCCACTCCCTCATCCAACCTGGAAAAGTTGAACCCATCTATCTAAGCCCAGGCAACTTTGGAGGCAGGGCTTTGTGGGGTAGAGAGAGACACAGATGGCTCTCTTAGCATCTCCTGTGTGTCAGAAGGAGACCGGAGTGCTGTCCCATTTTACAGAGACCGAAACAGAAGTTCAGAGACGGCCCTGGGTCACATGACATCTGAGCCCAGGCCGCTGACCGCTACCGCAGAACCCCGACTCTGCCTTGAACACCTGCCTCCTCTCTCCCAATCCTTGGCAGCCAGAAGCCGGGTTTGCAGGTCATGAGAGGGACGCTTGTCTCCTACACAAGAACTCAATTCTTATCCCAACTCCATGAGGCGGAGGGCTGTTATTGTCCCCATTTTATCGGTGAAGAAACGGTGACCCAGAGAGGTGGAAATGACTTGCCCAAGATCACACAGCCTGTAAGAGGCAGAGCTGGGAATTGAACCCTGGCCATCTGGCTCCAGAGTCTTGCAAGCAGATGTGTGTGGGTCACTCACCTGTGTTCAGCCCACTGGTGCCTGGCAGCTGGTTGGCCCACAAAC